TTTTGTTTGTGTCTAAGATGGCCATGTGAGACTTAGACTTCCGCTGTGTGTTTTTAAAGTTGTTTTAAGAAGTTTAAATGTGTGGATGTAAATAAGTTTTTTTATTATTCCGCACTATTTTCATTATTGAATGCAATGAATGACTATGTGGCTTGTATAAGACCCCTTCGGGGTCGAGTACGCCTTGTTACGACTTGGGGGTGCTCCCGGGTCGTGACAGGTATACCCCTGGGTCGTGACAGAAAGAGTACATGTATTTTATTCCCTTAGCTTGTGTTTAGAAGTTTACTTGCTGAGTACCGTGTGGTTTGGTACTCACCCCTTGCTTCTACATTTTTGTAGGTTACGAGCCTGGATCTTTGTGATACTTTCTATTCTCTTATTTTCTAAGCTTCCTATGGAGATTTATGAGGTAGTTATTTGTCATCTCAGTGGACCTTCTTACTTCTATATATGATCATGTTCTATTTTAGGGACAACATCAATTGAGACTTGTGTTTTCATTCAATTCTAGTGTAATACATTAGAGGTTTTGCGCACGTGACAACCAGGTTTTTGGGGTATATTTATGTTCATTATAAATTTCCACATTATTTTATAGTATTAAACTTTTATTCTCGTTTTACTTCCACATTCACAGTATAAAATTGGGTTTTAGGCTGACTTGTCTTGATGGGATAAGACGAGTGTCATCGCATCCATTTTTGGGTCGTGACAAAATAATAGTAAAATTAAATAAACGATCTACATTTATTACACATAAAAATTGTAAGTTGTAGTTTTAATATGTTTTCTATTGTATAAATTGTTCAAAATATAAATAATTAGAATATATATGTATATCAACAAATAATACATTCAATTAAGATCACAAAAGTCATGTGGTGATATATTTGCCTTTTTAATTAGTAAATATTAAACAACTCACATTTTGTTGTAAATATATTTATGTGGATGTCCATAACTTCAAGATGTAATTACACCATAATGTATAGTAACTCCCACTCTTCCATAACCTTCCATGGCTAGTGTCTTCATAAATTTCATGGTTAATGTCATGTTTCTGACTAACCTTTTGTATCCATCTATGTATTACTATAAATAGAGGCATTAGAGTTCATATTGGATAGACTTGAAGATTTGATGAACACTTGAATACTTGGAAGAATAAGAAAAGTTCTCATCTCTTATCTCCCTATTTCTATTGTTCTCATCTTATATATTTCTTGTCTTATTTTGCTTTAATTTTACAACACATTTCGAATATTGTATTGATTTGCATTGGATTTATTTAGTAACAAACAACACTCTCTAAATAATTGTAAGCTAATTTATTTAAATATATTTACTAGTACAAATATAAAAATATAAAATCAAGAAAAATAATTTAAATGATTTGAAAGATATTTTATCTTTATATAGACTTATCCCATGATACTAAATCATGTGTATTACTAATACTTCCAAATGGAAGGTATAAGTAATACATCCTATAATACCATGCAAGGTAGGGGTGGGTGACAAATGAGTGATTTGGATTGGATTTGGATGGATCGAATATGGATTCAGTTAAAATGGATTGGATCACAATCCACCCATATAAAATATGGGTAAATATGGATTTGGTCTAGGGGTGTGCAAAAACCGATTTAACCAATAAACTGAACCGAAAAAAACACTATTGGTTTATTGATATTGGGTTATTGGGCTAACGGTTTTTAAACGGTTCTGCAAAAAAATTTATTGGGTTATTGGTTCGGTTTCCGGTTTTATAATTTTTGTTAAT